AAATAAATAAATAAATTTTATTTATCTAGCTAAAAATAATTAAAATATTAAAGATATGTTTAATATTGTTATTACTTAATAAACAATTGAAAAATGGTAAAATAGTCTTTTACTCATTCATCATATCCAGTCCGTCTAACCAAACATTGGATTTACTAAAAATAGTCATTTCTGGACATCTAATCCCACAAAAAAAACAAACATGGGATACACATCCAATCCAATCAAATAGTCCGGGAGATTTACAGTCTTAGGATTCAAGTCCGATGGATTCTAATCTCGCCTTAGAGTGTGTTTGATTCAAGGGATTAGGGCGGGAATTATTCACTGTTCGGGTTGCTTATCTAATGGAGGGGGATGTCTATCGTTTGGTACAATTTAGTCTGCCGGATATGGAGTCCAGCCGAACTCCATATCTCTTATATGAACAATCCTTGGGGGAGAGGGTGAGATTAAAAATTATGGCCTTATATATTAATTTTTTTTAGTGTTTTTTAAAAAATTAAATTTATATATTAAACAAAATTATTTTTTTTAGTGTTGTTAATTTAAAATTATATATTAAATAAAAAATATAAATTATAAATTTAATTTAATTAAAAACAATAAAATAAAAATTATGGCCTTATAAATTAATTTTTTTTAGTGTTGTTAAATTATAAATTTAACATTATAAATTTAAAATTATATATTAAATAAAAAAATATAAATTATAAATTACAAGCGTAAAATAATTTTTTTGAACATTTATCATTATCCAATCTGTCCAACCAAACATTGGAAACCAAATATTGAATTCACTAAAAATAGTCCTTTCCAGACATCTAATCCCATGAAAAAACAAACAGATACACATCTAATTCAACCAAATAATCCGGGGAATTCACAGTCCCAGAATTGAAGTCCGATAAATTTTAATCCCTCCTTATTCAGTTCGTCCAATCAAACTTACCCTTAATACATGGTGGTACCTCAATAAATGATGCCCTTGTCCCATACTATAGTTACA